CTTTCAGTGATGAACAGCAAAGCTGAAGTATAAGCCAAATAAACGCATTTCTCTCCAACTGGCTTTTTGGTCCCGGTGTTTTGTTGCAGCAATAGGAACCCTAACTAAGACACAGAGAGAGTTTGGATCCCACTGGCAGAAGTTCAGTAGACAAAAGCATCTTTTAACTTTAGATTCCCAACCTCAAGACTCCGCTTGCTTCACCCATGCTTCTGACTGACCAGCTAGAAATAAGGCCTTAGTTTTGGTTGGGTATGAGCTGTTCGCCACAGGCTCTTGTGTTTGAGCTCTGACTGACCTTGATAGTGAAATGGTCATGAAGGGTGGGTTACAGCCTGGCCCAGGTTCTGGCGGTCTCTTGTCCCTCTCTTCTGACCTAACCAGCGGCAAGCTCCCATACCAAGGAAAGATTCCCAGGGGCCATGTCTTCCTGTCATGAAACTACAATGTATGTTAAAATGTGTCCTTTTTCCTCTGAGTTACTTCCTCTCTGGTTTTTGGTTGTGGCAGCGAGAAAAGTAAAAATCTGGGAGTGGTAGCAAGTGTCTTTATTCACGGTTCTAGAGAGGCAGAGCCAGGTGGATCTCTCAGTGTGAGATTTTATAGAGGTTTTATCACATGGGTATAATGGACCCATGAGCAAGCAATCAAAACATGACTGGACAAGGTCTATGCTAATAGACAGTAAGGCCAGGTTCTCCAGGGTCCCTCTCTGGAGGCCACAAGTCAGGGCCCTTGAAATGAGGGTCTTATCACTGCAAGGCAGATCAGAGACAACCCTTAGATTTAGAGAGCAGTGGTGTTTCTCCATCCCTTTGGCAAACTTCTTTCTCCAAAAATATTGACATTACGATTCATAATAGTAGCAAAATTACAGTTACGAAGTAGCAACAAAAATAATGTGTAGTTGGGGGTCACCACAACGTGAGGAACTGTATTAAAGGGTGTAGCATTAGGAAGGTTGAGAACCACTGACTTTGAGAAAGATTATAACATTTATATTGTTCATCTTAGGGAAGAGAAATTCTAGTTTCTATGGCATGCCTTTGAGACAGAGTTACAAAATCAAAAAAAATATATGTCATAATACCATAAGGACAGTCCTACCAATAACTGGAGGGTTATTTCTTTTCAGTGGGCTTGCGCCTGGAGTTAATAAAGGACAGAAATGGAAGCATCCTGTGTGGGGTCACCTGTGTGGCCTTGGTAGGACTTTAATGGTCCTAGGTTCATTCTTTGATAATTGAACAGGAAGGAACAGGGACCACAGCCTTGGATTTCTCTCATGTGAGGGTGTGAGTCAGCGAGTTGTCAGACTCTCTGTGTGAGGGGGCTGGGAGAATAGACTGCTCAGCAATTGTTTTCCTGTCAAACCTTTGACTGTAAACCATATCGGATGCCTTCCTTCAGTTCCAGTTCCGAGGCCAAGCCTTTCTGGATTCTGCCCCAGTGCTTCTGTCTCAGCCTGCAACTTCATCCTTGTCTCCACCTCATGGGTACTCTGCATCCTTTGCTTCCCACCTTTATGTACCCATTTTAATATCTTGCATCTTCGTACCTCCTCTCCAGTCCCTCTTCCTTTTTTGGAAAATGATTGCATGTACCTTTTCTTCTCTTGCTAAGCATGGGCCTGAACTTGGGATCTCATGCCTGCTAGGCAACTGCTTGACCCAGCCCACCATTTTGCTCATCTTTATTGAGACCTGGAAAATATCCATCAGTTTTTTTGTCAACTGTGAGAAGCCAACTTGCAAAGAGGAAACGTGTATGCTGGCTCACAATTTTGGAGATCTCAGTCCACAACCAATTGGATCGCAGTCCATGGCTTCAGGCTGTGGCACATCGTATGGGAGTGAGTGATGGAGCAAAGAGGGGCTGAGATCTCATAGGCTGTTCAAAGACATACCCCACTGCCCAAAGACTCTACATTAGGCATCGTTTCTTTTATGCACACACACACATGCACGCACGTGCACACACATACACACATAATTTTAAAAAGCATTTTCATTTTCTGAGATTATAATATCATATTATCATTTCTCCCTTCCCTTTCCACCCTCCTCCAAGCTTCCCCCTATATTCCTCTTTTTCATTGATTGATTATATATATAATTTATAACTAATATTATATAAATATACATATATTATAGCCTGCAGACAATTAAGGAAAGCTGCGAGTGGACAAATAGTCTTCCCCAAAGAAGAGCACACCAACTGGTTGTCCAAAACCAAATGGCCAGCCATGGAAGCATACATACAAGTAACATTATACAGAGTGAGCAGGCCTCGCTTCTTAAAGTTTCTTCTACATCCTCATAATGCCTATTATGTTTTTAACACGTGGGCCCCTCAGGGATGTCCCAGATCCAAGCTGTAGGATGAGTTGAGATGTGTGTGAGCAACCCACGTCTTAACCCGAGGTCTGTACTCCCCTACTTTTACAAAGACTTAAGCTTCTGTGGAATGTACATCCAACTGGCTCGTTTCCTAGGGACCATCTAAGCATGTCACGTTCCTGGATGCACAGACTTGACGTCCTGTAGTTTACAGGTACAGTACGTAGTCCCCTTGGATGAGTCCTAACCAAATTTCCTGGCGCAAGATCTGTGACTGCAAATGATTTCCAGTGATGCAGGGACCCAAACTGGAGTGGAATCCCTGAGTTAGGGTGAGCGAGAACCAGAGAGTCTGCCCCTCGGGTGACCCCACTGCCAGGGCCGAGAGCTGCAAAGCACACATCCAAGGGGCCTGTGGCTCGGAGGTGTGAGCTCAGCCTTCTCCCAGCACAGATGGTTGGTTGTTGCCATAGCGTTCCCAAGACTGTGCATCACAATTCAGGGAGATGGGGCCTAGAAGAAGTGGACAGCCATGGAAAGAAAAACAAACAAACAAACAAAAAAACCCTCTGTTAATTATTGAAAGTAAGGCAGTTACTACTTTGTCTGCAGAAGGTTGTGTTTCTCCCTCTGTCAGCTAGTAGAGAGAGAACATAGACCTAGGGTTGTCTGCACTTGTATAACGTCTTTGGCTATTGCTTCAGATGCCACCTCCCATTGAAAAGAAAATCCCTCCTTCTCCTTTCTCTGGGAATCACTGAGCTGCCAACCGATTTCAACTGAGGGCTTCGCAACCTTCTGGCTGCTGTGAGCTGAAAGTTCCTGTCTCACAGGGACCGAGATGTGATTTCAAGTGGGGAAAAAAAAATTTTGGCAGGGAGGATTGGAAACAACTCCACACCTACAGCCGATCTGTCTTTTGCTATTTACAGTTCTGTTTTTAAAACATATCATTTAAATATGAGTGTCGACTTCCTGGTAAGCTTTGGATGTAGCGACCAACAAGAGACATGAGCGGTGAGAAAGGAAAAAACAGTTTCCGTACACAAAGCCCTACCATAATAAACAGGCAGAAGCGCTTCCTGACCCACCGTGCCAAGCAGCCATTTGCCTCCCAGCCTCTGCTGCATGCAAAATATTTTTATAAGACCAAGTGCAAAGTATTATTATCATTAATATTAAGTTTATCCTTCTTGGAACACGCCCAGGGTAGGGTTCTACCCAAAGGCCTCGTAGAAGCCAAGGGTAAGGACATTGATCTCAGCAGTTAGTTTGGTTTTAATTCCCTTCGTATAAATTTTGCAAAGCTGGGGACACACATACACAATATTGTGCTGATGGGATCTACGCCCAACAGCCCCAGGCCCCCAGCAACCACCCCACAAAACCATCACGACGGAAATTCCAGAGCAGTAAATAGGCAGCACGCCCAGCCAGGTTCCCAAAGGGGCAGGGGAAGAGAGGCCGGGACAGTTGTAAAGACATTGGGTGTCCACAGCCACCAGGGAGCCCTCCCCTGTAACACAGTGTGAGAACCTCGGGAAGACAACAAGGCAGATGAGAAATACCTATTTATTCTCTTTTACTCACCAAAGTAAAAGCCAAAGTGGGTATTCCCTTTGTTTAAATCAAAAACTGAAAACAACAGAAACAACAAGAAACCCCAAAGCCACTTTCCCGTGCCCTGTGTGCCGTGAGAGATGCTTGCTTTGTAAGCAGTCGCTGAATTTCCACAGAGCCACCTGTGCAGACCACGCCCAAGAGCCAGACTATTAGCAGCCCCCGGAAGTGCCACTGGGTTCCTCTGCAGTCGGTACCTGCCCTGCCTCATCTAGATGGTGATCGCCATCTAGAACCCTGCCATAGATCTCTTTGTCGGCAGGAGCCAGAAATTACTTAGACCACATTCAGGACAACTTTATGCTAATGTACTCAAAATGAGGCTGCAGGAACTGGGTGTGACAAGAAGCGACTGACCCAGAGATTCCCTCAGTCTTCCCAAGGGATGGGCCAGTGTAGTGTGACAAAGGAAGGAGCGGGAGGAAGAGAATGGTGCAACTGCTCACGTGGACGAGTGTGCAAGGGGCACCATCACGGGTGACACCACGGCCCTGAAAGAAAGAAGGCAGTGTTTGGAGGGATCCACCGGGAGGAAGGGGCCACCGGCATCAGCCATACTGACTTCTGTAATGTATTGCTGGCGTGCCAGCACCCGAGGGCAGGAGAGTGTCTTGTTTGTCCTCATCACCACCCATAGACCTGGGTTCAGGAAAGCTGGCTGGTCCTAAATACCTCCCCCCATCCCCAGAGTGTCACTCAAGCTGCTCACCCGCCCTTGGGCAGTTCACGGTCAAGTTGGGAAGAAGATTAAGTCACGAAGATGGCGCTGCAAAGCACAGGAACAGCGGAGACACGCTGACCACCCAAGGGCTTGTTCACCTGCATGCTACCAGCGGCAGTCCTAGAGCCGGAGGGAGGATTACAGAGCACACTTGTCTCACCTGAGGTGTCTGTCCATGGGAGCGAGCCCGTCTGGGCTGAAGCAGGGCAAAGGCTCTTTGGGATCTTCCATGAGGGATGTAGAGAATGAATGTGAAGAGGGGCTTTAGTCAAGGGGAGGCTCCTAGGCCCACCAGAGGAGCTCGTGAATTAAACAATGAGGCGATTCTGTCTTTCCAGCTCCCACCCGCAGGACACCAAAAACTCAGGGGGCAGGTAGGCCTCAGTCCCTGGGCATGCCCGGTGCTTAGCAGTGTGTCTAGGCCCTCTCCTCAGTCCTTCCACTTTGTTCACAGGGATATGTCCCTGAACATCACTGATGCCTGCTAGCTTGGCTATGGAGTCAGGACAGCTTTTAGCCTTTGCTTTCAGCGGTCAAAGAACAAACCTACTCTGCTTCATAGGCTGAAATGTGGTCTCCTGGCCTCTGAGAGATGAGAAAGAACATCTCTGACCTCTGAGAGATGTGAGGACCGATTTCCTCAGATTTTTGTGAGTCTAGGGGATGTGAATAGAGTCTGCCAATGTATCTGAGAGAGCTACTGGGCACGGCCACAGTGCCTTCAAGGGCCAGTGTGACGCCAACAGGAGGCCCAGGTTCTGACTGCAAAAGCCCTTTGTGGTTTTAATGGGTTAAAAATAAAAATTGTATGTATCACTGGAGTAAACATATGTTTTCTATTGTATAATTATCTTATATTGTTTTTATATGTCTGAGCATTTTGACTGCTGTTCGTCTGTACACCACGTGTGTGCCCAGTGTCTACGGAGGCCAGAGAGTGTCAGATCCTTTAGAACTGGAGTTACAGAGGGTTGTGAGTCATCACATGGATGCTAGGAGTCGAACACAGGTTCTCTGGAACCAATAGCAAGTACTGAGCCACCTCTCCATCCCTGGCTCCATATTTTGATGGCTGTAGAGATGGTGTAATGTTTATATCAAGCACATATCATTTTCTTGAAGTTCTTTTAGGTTTTGGAATACAGAAGGTGGAGTCTCTCCTGAAAGTGGGCTTCCTACACAGTCTGAGAATCAGTTGCCACATACAAATGGCAACACAGACAAAGATACCACCTTACAAGAGGAACTGGGTCTCTAAGAAAGAGGTACACATGTCCCAAGTCTCAGTACTTGTGAATGAGGCTTTATTTGGAAACACGGTGTTTTCAGGTTAAGATGAAGCCACAGTGGGTTAAGGCGACGGAGTTCAGTATGGGTGGGGCTTCCATAGGAAGAGGAGAGAGGTGGAGGGATTGACCTGAGCCTCTGGAGAAAGAGATGGGAGCCAAAGAACACCTGAGGCTATGCTGAAAAAAGCAAGAGAAATTCCTCCCTGGAGGTCCAGAGGGAACAACAGCCTGATTTTGGATTTCTGACCTTGAGGACTCCAAGACAATAAATTCCGGTCATTTTTAGCCACCAAGCTTGTGGTACTTTGTTCTAATTGCTCTAGGGAACAGACAGAGATAACCATCATTTGACAAGCCTGGCCTTCCCAGAGATGCCGAAACACACCTGCCTCCTGATGTCAGGTGGGTATCAGGCAAGAGCTCTGGCCAGAGAATTCTAGGTTTATCTTCAGGTCAAGGGCCTCAGCAGTGGTCAGGGAGAGGCAGTAGAGTGTCGCAGCAAAGATTCCAGACTCTGGGGGGTTTGCATTCAGAACCCTGGCTGGCAGATCATTCGCAAGTTACTTCACAGCTCCCTGCCTCAATTGCCTAATCTGTAGGATGGTAATAAAAATTGAGCTTCTAGGAGAGCAAAGAGGTTATCAATATAATGTGCTATCCTAGTTAGGCCTTTATTTTTATTTTTTTTGTCAACTTGACACAAGTTAGAGTTATCTGGGACGAGGAGGAATCTCAACTGAGAAAATGCCTCCATCCAGGTTGTCTGCAGGAAAGTCTATAGGGCATTTTCTGAATTACAGATTGCTGTAGCCAGGTGGAGTCCACAGAGGTGGGGGGGTTGCATATCTGGACAGGAAGACGTGAAAGCAAGCCACGCCAAGCAACATTCCTCCATGGCCTCTGCTTCAGTCCCTGCCTTGAGTTCCGCCCTGACTTCCTACAGTGTTGGACTATGATGCAGAAGTGTAAGCTATTTAAAAACAAAAACAAAAACAAAAACAAAAATGCTGTTCTCCTCGAGTTGCCTTTGGTCACGGTGTTTTATCACAGCAATAGAAATCCTGACTAACACATATTCCTAGAACAATATCTGGCTCGTAGTAGCTGCTAAGAATGAAGGCTTCATGGCCTTGCTGTCTCATCCCTCCCACTGGCTGCAGAGCAAGGGCAACGGGTCCTCTGCTGGCCTGTACGGGCACAGTGGTGGGTGGACAGAGGCTCAGAAGGATCAGGTGAGAATCTGGAGTCAGAACAAGGGCAGAGGCTGAGCCTAGGCAGAAAAAGTCTGTAGCAGATTGTGTCCTAAGTGAGGATCAGGGTGCACAGTTTTCTGGAAAGGCCAGGAGGTGGATCTGACCCCAGAGAGGAAAAGAGGGGTGTGCATGTCAGGGAAAGTAGATCCTGGAGAAAGCAGGGGAGTCATCAGTCATCATCCTGGTAGGGGTAAAACGAGGGCAATCTCAATGGCTGAGCAGCCCAAGGTGTGGCCAGCGTCTTAGGGAGACTCTTGGTAAGGGGTAATAAGGGGCTGCTGGCTACTGGTTGGCCAGTGTGTTAGGGAGACTCTTGGTGAGGGATAGGAAGGGGCTGCTGGCTACTGGGTGCTGGTCAGGTATGGGTGTGGATAAGGGAGAGAGGAGAGAAACTTACCTACACATGATTGCACAGGGACCTGTTGATCTTCACCGTCAACTTGGCTGGGTTTGGAATTACCCAGGAGACACACATCTGGCTGTTCCCAGGAAACACACATCAGGTTGTTCCCAGGAGACACACATCAGGTTGTTCCCAGGAGACACACATCTGGCTGTTCCCAGGAGAGCATCCGAAGAGGATTAACTGAGGCAAAGACCTGCCCTGAATGTGGGAGGCGCCATCCACAGGCTGTGGTCGGATGGGGATCACAGAGTGACAAGGTAGAAGTGATCTGAGCACCAGCTCATCTCTCTACTCCATGACTGGAAAGTGGCCATCGGTGTCTCTGTTCCTCCACTGTGCCTTCCCCTACCATGATGAACTGTATCTCCTTGAACCGTGAGCCTGAGCAAAGCCTCCTTTTACTATGGTGTCCTTGTTATGTATTTGGTAGTCCCAAGAAGAAAAGCAATGAACATAGTGTCCCATGTTCGCCACCTCTATACCCAACTGGTCATGTTCCTCCAGCAATACCCTGACTACAGCCATAAGGCCGAGAGCAGTCTGTCAGCCCGATTGCGATATCTGAAGCTGGACCCAAGTTCACTTTCCTGCCCTGACTGAACAAGCAAGAGAAGGCAAAAGTGTTTTTGACAGAAAATGTAAATTTGGTTAAATTGACCAAAAACAATACAGTTGGTGAAGCCACGAAGCTCTGTAGTTGTGGTTGCTGTGAAACAAACAGGCCCAGGGAATCTCTAGCAATGCCTTATAGCTGAGAGAAATACAAACACTTCCAGAAGCTGATAACAAGAAAATGAGCCCTCACCAGAGGACAGAACCTGGCATACGCCATGTGATGCTAACTTCTTGGTATCCTGGTACTCATGGAAGCACAGTCCCACCATTCTTAGCCTTATTTCTAGTCTTAAAAATAACTTACTGATTAGAGCCCCAGCTCAGTTGGAAGAGAGTTGCGGAGTATTATTTTAGCCAGGAAAAGATGTGTTACATTTGTTTATGCTGTATAATATGAAGCTGTGTCACATTTACTTACGCTACATTTGTTTAACGACCTAAGGGTGTGGATTTAATCACATACAGATGTGTTGCATCTGGTTCACCTTGCCTGCCTGAAGTACCTGGTTGGACTAATAAAAAGCTGAACGGCCAATAGCTAGGCGGGAAAGGGCTAGGCAGGCATGGTGGGCAGAAAGAATAAATAGGAGGAGAAAGCGAGACTCAGGAGAGGAGTGAGAGACGAGAGAACAAAGAAGACACCCAGGGAAAGAAGCCAGGCAGCAGCCAGTCATACGTGAGAAACAGCGAAAGTAAGATACACAGAGGGAAAGAAAGTAACAAGCCCCGAGGCAAAGGTTGATAATGAGAAACACATTAAGTTAAAGAGCCAGCAGGAAATGAGCCTAAGCCAGGCTGAGCATTCATAACTAATAAGAAGTCTCCATGTCATGATTTGGGGGCTGGTTGGTGGCTTAAAAGAAAGAGACTGGTACAGAAGAATACTTGCTGCCATGTCCAAAGCCCAGGTTTAGAGCCCCAGCATGCATGCGTGCGCACACACTCACACATGCACATGCGCACACACATACTCACAAACATACTGATTAACTAATGAATAATTAAACTCATATACTTCTATTACACTTCTTCGTTTAAATAACACCTATGAATTCTACATTGTTAAAACTGAGAATTCTACTCTTTGGTCCTCACCCTACTTCCTTTGGAGTGTGAATTTGTTTGTTTGTTTTCACATTTGTTAAGTTTAAAACTAGGAACGTAGTTTCAACCTTTTGCCTTCTATCCACTTGGAAGACTGTGGAGCCCTTGCTGGACTGCGGAGCCCAGTGGAGGCCTGCCCTGTCCTTCATATCTGTCTCCTCTCCCTTCATCATGGGTACACGATCAAGGATGCAATTCTGTCTGGTGACAGCTCTCACCTCACAGGGAATGAGTGGTCTACTCCTAAGCGGAGTACGAATGACCATTAGCCCAGGAACGTGGGTCCAGGCTTTGTCAGATAACATGCTCTAATGTGGACGCAGTTCTGTGAAGGGTTGGCACGACAGACAGTCGTAAGTCAAGGCTTCGGACGAACAGCAATAGGGGAGCCCAGCAGGAGGAACAGCGAAGTGAGGACATTTCCACTACAGGTGTCAGGTGCTACCACAGGGCATTCTTAGCCTGGAGGTGGCAGAAGCTAGCCGCCTCCTCAGTTACTATGGTTTCAGAATACTTACCTGGTACAAGGATGTGAGGGCAGATGTGGGCAGTGAATGGCAGGTAACAGGATTAAAGATAACATAAGATGATTTGACTATAGATCTGTAACATCCCAGCTGTTTGCCATTACAAAGTTCCAATCAGTCAATAGCTTTGTAGAATCCTTAACACAGCTTTGGACTTCCCTCTGGGAACTTCTGTGCACAATGACCCGCGAGTGAGCTTCCTGTCTTTCTTAACTTTCATCTCTGTGTTAAGATAGAATAAATGGTCAGGCAGTGGTGGCGCACGCCTTTAATCCCAGCACTGGGGAGGCAGAAGCAGGCAGATCTTTGTGAGTTCAAGGCCAGCCTGGTCTACACAGTGAGTTCCAGGGCAGCCAGGGCTATTACACAGAGAAACCCTGTCTCAAAAACAATTGAACAAACAAACAAAACAATCAATAGGAATGACCTCTGTACAACTTCATCAGTACTATTATATCAGTCTTATGGTTTCGTTACTCAGTAGGGCTGCTGTTTTTTCCAGGGCCACAAAAAGTGGAATGTTCTGAATGTCAAAATCAAATGGATTCTTTCTTTAATATACCTTCCTTCTGCTCACATTCAGGCAGCTGGGAACCCCACAATGTGGGTGCTGGGAACGGACTGAATTACAGTCCTCAGAAGAGCAGCAAGTACTCTTAACCAGAGTGCATCGTACAGAATCTCATGTGGCCCAGATGGACTTAAACTTACTATGTAGCTGAGCTTGGACTTGAACTCCCAATCTTCTTGCTTCAATCTCTCTAATGCTGGGATTACAGGCGTGTGCCAGCATACCAGGCACGATCACAAAATTTACAGCCTTTTGGGTTCTTTATTCCCTTAAATGTTCTAAGCACCTTTCCTCTTTCCTCACAAGGAATACCCACTGCCCATTCCCCATGCTTCACTTCCCATTTCCCAAGCTTTGAAACAAGTCCCAGCTTGTCCTCCTGTGCTCTCTCATCTGCCCTGCCAGGGTGGGAAGCCTGGGACCTTGATTTCCCAGCTTCCCTCGCCAGCAAGTTTCTTCCAAAGCGAGACTTTGGAGCTGGACAGCGGAAGGGTGGAAAGAAGAGCTTCCCTCCTGTGGTACTGGCTGCATTAGCAGCCAGATGGCTATGGTGGGAGCTGGGGGGTTCTAGGCTCTGTAGCAGCTGCTGCAGGAGAAATCCAGGTTCCTGGGTGAGGCTGCTGGTGGTGACATTGGCCCTGATTTCCATTTCTTGCCTTCAGTTCCAGAGTGAGTTTACAGCTTCCTGCGACCCTGCCTTCTGGGTATTAAGGACTGAATGTTTGTGTCTCTTTCAATCCTTACATAAAAGCCCCCATCCCGGGGTGCTGCATTTAGAGACAGGGCCTAATGGAGTTAATTAAGGTTCAATGATATTATATATTTAGAGACCTATTCTGGAAGGACTGGTGTCTACAGAGAGAGGGAGAGACATAAGATTTCAGCCCTGGAGCCCAGAGAGAAGGCTGTAAGGACACCGTGCCCCTGAAGGTGCCTGTCTACAGGGCAGGGAGATATTGCTCACCAGAAACCACCCCTCACAGGCCTGGATAATGAACATCTAGCCTCTAGACCTACGAAAGCATAAGATTCTGCTGTATGAGCAGATGCACGCACTTCCATCAACTGCTGCTCCCTTCAGTGGCTTTCTTTCTCTTTGGTCCTTGGAGCCTGTGTAGGTCTCATCTCCTTGCTCTGCTGGTGTAACTTCCTAAAGAAACTCCCTAGGAAAAAGTAGAATGTCTGCCTTTATGTTCCTAATACCTTTCCCTTTTCCCCTCATTTGAAGCAGTGTCTCACTATTCAAACCAGGCGGGCCTGGGACTCACTATGGAGTAAAGGATCTCAAGGTTGTGGTCCTCCTGTAACAGCCTCCTGAGTATTGAGATTACAGAACAGAATTTCATGCCCAAAAGATTATCTTATATCCTCCACTCCTCCAAAATCTGGTCTCATTGTCTTCTAGAACCTTCTGAGAAGCTCTCAATTTTACTGCGTCTCTCTGGAAACTTGGGATCTTCAATATATATATATATATATATATATAAACTTGAGATCTTCAATATATATATAGCATGTTCTCAAACTTCATGTGGTTGTATCTAAATACAGACAATTTCTTATCAGTTGTTCAGTATGATACTTATATCTTTTGGGGGGATACTTCCGATCCCTCATCTTTGGGCCAATGCTTTCCATTGTTTCTGAGATTATCTCCTTCCCTAAGTATTCTGTGCTTGTTGAAGATGAACAATCAGAGTTAAATTTTTTTTGTGGCTCTGTTTTTCACTTCTCAAGCTTCTTTATATTTTCATTCTAAAATCTAGGAAGCACCCCAACTTTATCTTATTGACAATTTTGAGCTTTAAAATGATTTTGTTGCAAAAGTAAGCTTATTTTCTAAGTATGTGCATGTGTACATGTCTGTGGGGGTACCAGTCCACATGAGTACAGGTACCTAGGAAGGCCAGAAGAGGGTGCTATTTCCCCAGGAGCTGGAATTGCAGGAGGTTGTGAGTTCCCTGCCATGGTGCTGGGAATTGAACTTGGGTCCTTTGAAAGAGCAACGTAGGCTCTTAACTGCTAAGCCATCTCTCCAGTCCTAATTGTTATATTTTATTTTAAAAATATTTTTATTTTCAAAATCAATTGTTTATATTTGTCTTACATGGAGAGGCGTTTTATCTGCATGCATGTCTGTGTACCATGTGCATGCCTGGTGCCTGGAAGCCCAGGAAAGGATATCAGTCCCCTGGGACTGGAGTTACTGACAGCTACCAACAGTCATATGGGTTTTGAGAATTAAACCTGGGTCATCTGGAAGAGCAGTCAGGGCCTTAAATCAATGAGCCATCTCTTCAGCTCCCCACATCCCCATTTTTTGAGAGAATGTTTCACTGTGTAGCTCTGGCTGGTCTAAAATTCCCTCTGGCTTCAAACTCACAGAGGTATGCCTGCTTCTGCCTCCTAAGTGCTGGGATCAAATGTATATGCCACTTGGTCAGCCTATTAAAATGATTATTTAAATGAACATATTTAATTTTTTTCTAAGCTTTCTTCTTTGCCATGTAATTCCTTCTTCATAGCAACTTTTTTGTAATTATAGACTCCATAACTTTTCATTTCTCTGAAGATACCAGTTAATACTTCGAGGAATTATCTTCTCTCTGAAATATTTATTTTCCCTATGGGGTTAATTGTTCTCATATTTCTTTCTCACGCAGTTTGGTCTTCTTTGTGTGTCCAGTGGGCCTCCATCCTTCTTTTGTTTCTGAGCGTGCTGGGTGTCTGGTGTGCAGTGCGTCTTGCTTGTAGCAGGTCTGCATCCCCAGAGGGTAGCTCCCTGGACGGGAGAGCATAAGGTAGATTATTAAATAAAAGTAACGGAAGGCCACTGCTTGGGGCTAAGCTTCTGCTGTAGTCCCAAGCACAACATGCCGAAAATCAAAATAGAGCCACAGATGTTAAAGATGCCTCTGACCGGCAGGGCCATCTGTGACAGTGAGGGGAACAGTCACCAATATAGGAAGCCATCCAAAATGTAAATTCTGAGGCTCACTCTGGATGACCTACATGAACATGCTCACGTTGGATCTATCCATGCACCCACGTTTCAACAAGTCCTCTGGATGGTTCTGGGGTGATGTTGAACACCTCATCCCAGAGTGTGTTTTGAGTACTATCCCATTACATAAAATCTGCTCATACTGAAAGTCTGGTTCTTCTTGGAAAGCATATCTGGTGTCTCTCAAAGTCTCTGAGGGTGGGTGGAGGCCGTGGCTGACTGTAGCCACCCTGGGTGGCAAGGTAAATGACTGAGAAGTTCCCTAAACCGATTTCTACTGAGTCCAGCTCTTTGGGTAGTTCCCATCAGCCCTCCAGGCCTGTTTGCCTACGCCCCTGAGGTTCAGAAAGGACAAGGCACCACCTCCGAGCTTCTCTCTGACTTGAGCATCTCTACAGGCTTTAACAGGACCACCCCCAGTCCCTACCTGTCCCTCTGATTTCTAGCTGGCAGTCCCTCTTTCAAACTTTCTAACACAGTGTGGCCTGGACACTGACTCACCCCGTCCCTCAGGTATCCCACACAAACACCTTTTATTCTGCTTGTAGTTTTGGCGGTTGTGAGAGCGCCGTGCAGGCACCATGCGTCACTCACGAAGTCCAAGTTGTCGATATTAACAGTTCTGAGGTTGGTGGTACCACTGTTTTCTCCATGTAGAAAGGGAGAGAGTGAGGTGAAGAGTGGCCACATGGCTGGGAACGCCAGGGCTACATCTGCCCTCTCCAGGGAGCCTCCTCCCACAGCAAGTGTCCTTGGGGCCCACTCTGGCACCCCATCAGGAACTACAGTGTTGCAACCACCTTCTGCTTTTTTTAAAAGGCACTAAAAGGTCTTTAAAATATTAAAGAGGGTCAGAATTCATTTTATGCTAAGATCTGCATGGTCATCCTTGGGGTAAATGGAGGTGACTTTAGATTAGTTGAGTCTTGAAGTGACCGAGATGCAGGGTTATCTTGGAGTCTCACGAACGGGAGCTAGACTTCTCTGGCCCAAGCAAGGGAAAGCTCCCTGTGCCTTCTCCTCCTCTACCTGTGCCAGGAGGTGGGAAGAAAAGCAGGGAGAGACGGTTTACTTCCATAGACAAGGCTTCGTGGCCCTTCCAGCCCAAGCCTTACCTGGGAAGGAGAAACTAACCTGTCTGTCTGCGGATCCCTGATGACACAAATCCAAGGCTTGAGGACGTTCCCACAACTGAGTCCAGGTAGAAGCAGAATGTTCCAAAGCCATGGTTCCCACTGCTTGCCAAATGGAGACAGACCCGGCACAGCACAGCCCATCACGGCTGGCGCTCCTTGAACTCCAGGGTGACCCCTTCTGCCCCACCCTCGGGAAAGACCACCAAGTTCAACAGCCACCTGCTCCCCAGGAGGTCACACATCTGGAACCCAATATGTCCAATGGTGTTGTGACGGAAGGTGAATGAGGCAGCTGTTTGCAGAGGGAGGGAGGGAGAGAGGGAGAAAGGGGGTGGGCATTTCACACAGTTTAATAACCAGAGAAGAAGCAGCAGTTAGAGCAAATTTGAGCCAAAATGTCATTCAGGGACAGGGAAGAGCAATTACTTAAATATTTAAAACAGACACCCTGAGAGCGGCTGTGGAGCAGCTCTCTGTTAACATTTAACACGAGTTGGGCTGCTGCTGAGGAAACAACTGTTTACAGGAGATAGGAACAAACACCTCCTATTTGCTGAAGCCGTGGAGAGACTGCAGTGCTGGTATTCCTAAACTCCCGCAGCTCCAGCCGGGGGCCCACATCACCAACCATGAGGCCACAGGGGTGGGGAGGCCACAGCTGTCCCCAGAGCCTGGTGAAATCTGTAAACACACAGTCAGGGGTCAGTTGTCTTGCTCCAGACTCAGTTTTCAGGAAGCCCAGCCCTGCAGCTGGGCCTGGGAGGTGGCTGCTGGCTAGCTCATCAGCCCTCTCGCCTGCAGGCCCCAGCCAGGCTGACCTGGCGCCCATGCACTGTCCTAGGCAGACACCACACGCGAAGCCAGGTGCTTACAAGCAGAGGAACAGAGTCACAAACAGGCTTGCGTGGGCTCCAGTTCACACTGTGACCTCCCAGGACACCAGACTGGAGTGTCTATAGCTAACAAGCTTGGCTTTCTGCAGGGTTGTAGATGAGAACTTTGTTCATTACAGCTTCCATTTCCATGAGCCAGGCCTCGAGTCTCACTTCTACTCTGCTCTTAAAATAACCATTTCCCAACTGGCTTGCACATGTTAATCAAAATCAAAATCTCACACAGACCCCAGGCCACTGTATGCACCTCACTCCTACCTAGGCTGCACTCTACAAGAAGGCCCAGTTCAAGACCAAGGGAAACCGTCACCTTGAGTGCTTCAGCTATTTCCAAGTTGCCACAGTTGAGACCACGTGTGTCTCCAGGAAGCCTGTGCCCTGTTGCATCATGTAATGTGTTTATTACAAAGTTGCCCAACCCTACACCCACTACCCTGGCCTTCTCCTGGCATGTCTCTGCCAACCGGTAAAAACCACGGATGGCCTTGACCTATTGACAGCCTTCCAGTTGTTTGCACACCTGGCCAAAGAGAAGACAGAACAGGGCAGTGCCCTCTGAAAGCCCCGTCAAAGAACGGGGGCCTGCACAGCATTATTTGTTAAAAAAATTTTAGCTTACCAGAGCTAAAGTTTGGGCAGATATTTAGTACAAGATTTCAGAGCTCGTTCTCTCTCTCTCTCTCTCTCTCTCTCTCTCTCTCGCTCTCTCTCACACACACACACACACACACACACACACACACACACACGTGAGCACACTCATTTATTCTCAGAACAATTGATGTAGGCTGTTTAGAGTATTAAACTCATAGTCATTAATCTTTTTGTGTTCACTGAATAGTTCTGGGTACTAGAAATCTGAGGGAACATGTGATGGGATTAAGGTTAAACAACGTGCAACCATCAGGAGGGGTTCTAGCTCAGCTGAATGCTGGTCCATGGGGTCTAGCAACATCACGGCCATTGAGTTCCACTTAGTGGTCTAGACAATTTTTATTTTGGTTGCTGCCATGGTTTCAATATACCACAACACACACACACACACAACTTGGGTTGGAATTTAGTTCCCATTATGACTTATTAGAGGGAAGAAACAATCTGGCCATAGAGTGAGGCCCTCACCATTGAATTCTGCACTTTATTAGAGGGGAGAGGCCAGAAAACATGCATGCTCCCTTGCCCTTCTGGGTAAGAGTCCTTGTTGCCTGACAATCTGCCAACAGAAAGCCGTCAACAGATGTGACCTCTCGACCTTGAATCTTTGCAACAGTGACCTGAAGTAGGCCTCTTTTCTTCAGAATTTGCCCAGGCAAGGTGTAGTGTTTTTCCAATGGGAAATGGATTGACAAATGCTGCCTGCTTCAGAATGGTACCCTAGCATTTGGGGAGTCTCTTTCCTTGGTGGGGAGCAAGACTTTGCTTTCCTGAGAGAGCAGAGTTATTCTCTTCCTGCTTCCTTGAGGGGACTAGTATAGGTCTCAGCAGTCCTATACTGCCAGCAAACATGGAGGTTCCACTTGCCTGAAACAGCTTGCCAGTGTCCTAGGCACAGGTAGCGGCGTCATGTTCAGCATGGGTAACATCCTGTACATGTCCTGGGATTGTGGCCAAGATCACTCAGCAGTTTTGGATTCTGGGTAATTTTCCCAAAGCCGTTCTGCAGTTGGTTACCTACAGATCCTCCACTTGGCTGAAGTAACATGCCAATGTCCTAGGCACAGGTCGTTATGCCATGGTCAGCATGGGCACCATCCTACACATGTAGCCAAAGTCACCCAGCAGCTCTGGATTCTGGGTCATTTTCTCAAAGCTGTCCTGTAGTCAGTTACCTATAGATCACTTCAAATCCTCTTTTGCTCCTTCCCTGATGATAACCAGAACGTTTTCCGGCAGGAGCCCTGGTGGGCACAGACAGAGGTGTCTCTCCATTGCTATCTGAGGGCCATCTTCTTCCCTGGCTGAAGGCTCATTCACAACTCCCAGGCATCCCCTTGGCGGAGTACTTGGCTTGTCATGCCTTGCTTATATAGGGCACAGCCTACCCTGGCATTCCTCCTGCTCTTCAGCACTTGGCTAAGCTCAGTGGTCCTTAGAATTGCATGCACAAAGCAATCAAAACTCAGCAGCATGCTCAGGTGGGCAGCATGGGGGTGCCTGGTGTGCTCAAGCATTGGGGACATCAAGTGTGGAAGGGATTGTCACATTCTGAGTGTAAATAACTCTACCACCTGTCCTCTCCTCAGAATGGCTTCGTGGCCACTCAACTTCCCAAGGCAGTGAACCTCAAGCTCGGCTGAGTGACCAGACATGCTCACAGGACCAGCGTATCCCAGCCGTGTCTTGCAGAACTGATTACAAGAAAGGGGACGCGACTGAGCCCTGGCTGATACGAGTCCCCCAATGTCAAGTAGAATCAGGGTTTCAAATAAGACCAGGTCTGCTTATTGCGTAGCTATTTTCCCCATCGCTGTGATGAGAAAAGAAACTTGAGGAGGGAGAAAGTTTGTTTTTTTTTTTTCTGCTCAGAGTTCAAGGGTGTAGTCCAGCATGGCGGTAGGACCGTGAGGGGGCTTGTCGCAGGCACCGGGGACAGGTTGTGAAAAGTCATGACCACTGGTGTTTAGCTAGCTTTCTTTTACCTTTTAATTCAGTCCAGGGCTCCAGCCTGTAGAATGGTACTTCCCAGTTAAAGCAGGCTGCCTTTCCTGTCTCAGCTGTCCCTCACAGGCAGGCCCAGAAGCCTCACTCCTAGGTGACTCTAAATTCTGTCAAGTTGACCATCTGCATTAACCATCAGTTATTCAAAAAGGAGCAAGCGACCATTTTCATGCTCCCAGGGTTTTAGAGGCTTGTTGAGATAAAGGAAGAATCTTCTACAGAGACTGTTTCAGGGGGACATGGGTTCACTTTCAGGTCCCAAGAAACCTCCCCCTCCATTCTCCCTGCAGTCTGAGCACCTATTGTGTGCATAAGCGTCACTGAGTGTGCTAGTCATGGGTGCAAGAGTCTGGGCCAGGTGATTGGGCAGGCTGGGACAAGATTTGGGGAGCAGCTGGCACTTGAGGGTCCTTCTTCATGATTAGCAGAAAAGGAGGCATTCGGGCAGCCAGAAGGACCCTTGTAGGAACTGAAGTTTGAAGGGGTTGGGGTTTTCTAGGGTATAGGGCCCACTCCTGACCCTAGGAAGGATCCTAGGGATGATGTGGGATAATGGCCCTTGAAACTCCTGCAGAGAGAGCTTCATCACCCAACTCATTGACTGTGCCATCCTTGAGCACCATTCTCCAGATTCAGGCAGAGGGTTCACTATCAACCTGCCTTGGATCGTTTGTCTGTGGCCTTTGTTACACCCAGCCCCCTTTAATAGACAAGCATGTTTAAAGTGCATGTGTGTGTGCACATGTAAAATAGTCTATTTTTTATTTTTAATGATACCTATTAAATTTAGAATTCTTATTTTTAGACAGTGATAAGACATATAATAAAATTCACCATTGATAACGGCACAAGGTGAGTGGCACTGAGCACATGGACACTTCAGCCCGGCCGATGCCACCTGTTTCCAGAACTTCCTCATCTTCCTAAGCCTGAACTCTCCAGACCCTTCTCTCTGGTCCCCAACAACAATCACCCGTCCTACTTTCTGTCTCTGCCTACACAGGAGCCTCACTCGTGGAGCCATACAACACTGCCCTTTTGAGTCCAGCTTACGTACCTCAGTGTCCTCAGGATTAGTCTGTATCTGAGTGGTGGACCTAATCTCCCGTCTTCTTTCAAATAAATATTCTATTGATTTCACGGGCTATATTTTCTTAACCTTCCATGCACTGGCACTCAGCATTGCTATGTTTTAAATTAATATATTAGTTCCTATTGGCTTTCTTAGGCATCTCAGTCCCACTGGAGCATGCTCTCACTGTCCCCTTTTTTGTACACAGCAAGCCTGTTGCCTCTCCCCTGGGCCTGTTCCTCCTGCACGCCTGGCCATAGGCTGTTTCTCCACCCTCAGCATCCCTTTGATGACATCGACTTTTCAGGCCCCATCTGCCATCTTCTGACTCCATGTCTCCACCAGCACCCTTCCCTTGTCCACTTGATTCAGCCCCTTAGCTTTTGTTGGAAACCCCTGGGAAGAGTCTCTGTCGGGAACTGTCAGTATCAGGTTGGCCTGTAGGCATGCCTGTAAGGGTTGGCCTGTAGGCATGCCTGTGAGGGGCTGTCTTGATTGCTTTAACTGGAATAGGATGACTCACCGTAAACACAGCTTCTGTGTATGATCTGGTCTTTGTCTAACAAAACCTTGAATTTGATGCTTGCCCATGGAACCACGGGAGTCGAAGAATTGCTAGAACAGGCTGTGTTCCAAGCCTTAGAGATGCAGGGGTGGACAAGATGGGCACCCTCTGCTGCTTCCACGGGGTCAACATCTCCTCACCCTCTGACTGAGAAACAAAACCACCAGGCCAATAAATAAAATGCACACAGAGCAAAGAGAGTAAGCAGGGGGAAAGATAAGTATGTG